CCCCCCACTTTCTACGTTCTTCCTCGCTTGGGTTTTATACTCCATCACTCGAAATCCTCCATTCCTTCTCAATTAATTCGCCACCTTTAATTCGCCTGTTACAAATCATTTTGATTCCAATCTCCTTCGAGAATTTCGCTCACCCTTGATATCGGCTCCAGCTCAATCGCCATTAATGGTGGTCGTAATTTTTGAGTTGAATTTGAAACGTAATTACTCGTCTTTCTCCTTTTGGGCCGTAATGACCAAATAAACATATTGGGCTTTATTGTTGATTCAAATCTAAGGCCAACAGCAACCTACCAAAGTGGTGGTTTTGGTAATGTCCAAATCAGAAATCAAGGAAGAAACAAGATCGTTGGAAAGGGGGATGTCGTTCTTACATCAAACACCAGATGTAAGCTCGTTCTCAAGGATGTGAGGCATGTCCCTGACATGCGTCTTAATCTCAATCAACTAGAAAGCTCGATGATGCTGGTTTAGGAAATCACTTTGGTGAAAGCAAGTGGAAGCTAACCAAAGGAAACTTGGTCATGGTTCGAGGAAAGAAAGAAGTGTCACTATACGTGACCCAAGCTACGCTTTGCGAGGAGGAGGTAAACATCGCAAATGCTTACATGGAGTTATGGCACGGAGGCTCGCCATATAAGCGAGAAGGGTCTAAATATCCTCGCTCGAATGAAATCCCTCCTTGATATGAGAGGTATGTCTCTCGAACCATATTCTGACTGCTTAGCTGGAAAACTTAAAAAAAAAATTGGGTCATTTTTCTAACACTATTTTTATCAAGATGTGTCTTTCAAATACCGATTTCTTTATTCCTAATAATTCAAATATCTTTCCCTCTATTTCCACACCTTCTGCTTCATTGTCCTCCCTAATTCAAATCAATGTTTTCAATACAGTTATGATCGAGTAGTCATAAAACACAACCATCATGTTTATTCAACAGACGATTGTACCGTAAATAATGTGTAGGCCTTATCCACTTTCTGACAGAGATTGTATTTATATATGTTATTATTAAAATAACTGTAATCTATTTTTTAACACCAAATCCTTCCAACTAAGACCGGTTCTATGATTTTGGAGGCCTAAATCATATAATAAAACTATGGCCCTTTATTAATAAACTAGATGAATATTCGCGCGTGACGGGTTTATTTTATAAATCGTTTGTCATTTTATGTATGATTTATATATAATAGATATCTTTTTTGTTTATTGAAAATATTTTTTTATCTTATACCATATTTACGGATTCTATGAGTCAAAATTCTTCAAAGTCTTTAAAATGTATTGACAGAATATTTGACAAAACCATTGAATTTTATTTAAATCCATTTTTATTTTAGAGTCTATTTGCATAATCTATCAATTGTTATATCG